CACACTACTTAATATAAAACTCTATTATAAGGCCATAATAATAAAAAAAAGCACTTTACTGGCATAACAACAGACACATAGGTCAATGGAACAGCATAGAGAGCCCAGAAATAAACCTACACTTTTATATTCAATTAATATTTGACACACGTAGTAAGCACATACAATGGGCTAGAGATAGCTTATTCAATAAATGGTGTTGGGAAAATTGGACAGATACATGCAGAAAAAGGAAACTAGTCACCTTCTTACACCAGATACAAGAATAAACTCAAAATGGATCAAAGATTTAAATGTTAGACCCAAAACCATAAAAATCCTTTAAGAAAACATAGGCAGCAAAATCTCAGACATTGTTCATCTGATAAAATTTTTTATCAGATATATCTTCCCAGAGGAAAGGGAAACTAAACAAACAAACAAACAAACAAACAAACAACATATGGGACTACATCAAACTAAAAATTTTTGCAAAGGAAATCATCAACAAAGTAAAAAGACAACCCATTAATGCAAGAACATATTTGCCTATACATCTGATAAGGGGTTAACATCCAAAATTCATAAAGTACTTACAAAACTCAACACCAAATCAACAAACAACCCTTTTAAGAAAGGATGAAGGACCTGAATAGATGCTTCTCCCAAGAGGACATACAGATGGCCAATAGACATATGAAAAGATGCTCAATGTCACTAATCACTAGAGAAATACAAATGAAAACCACAATGAAGTACCATTTCACACCTGTCAGAGTGGCTATCATCAATAAATCAATAAAGAACAGGTGCTGTTGAGGATGTGGAGAAAGGGGAACTCTTTTGCACTGTTGGTGGGAATGCAGACTGGTACAGACAGTGTGGCAAGCAGCATGGAGATACCTCAAAAAATTAAAAATGGATCTGCTTTTTGAATCAGTGATCCCACTTCTGGGAATATATCAGAAGAACCCAAAACACTAATTGGGAGAACATAAGCACCCCTATGTTAATTGCAGTGTTATTTGCAATTGCCAAGATATGGAAGCAGCTCAAGTGTCCATTAGTAGATGAGTGGATAAAACAACTCTGGGACATGTACACTATGGAATACTACTTGGCCATAAAAAAGAAGAAAAATTTCCCCTTTGCAACAGTATGGATAGATCTGGAGAACATTATGCTAAGTGAAATAAGTTCTTCAGAGAAAGACAAATACAATATGATTTTACTCAAATGTGGAATCTAATGAACAAATTGAACTAACAAAGAAAATGGGGACAGACTCATAGATGGAGAGCAGGATGACAGATAGTGGAGGGGCAGGTTAGTGGATGGAGGGATTGAGCCAAAAAGAAAAAGGACTCATGGACATGGACAAATGTGTGGTGATTGCTGGAGAGAGGCGATATAAGGGGACTAAAAGGCAACGTAAAAAAATATAATAACAACTAAATAAAAAAAATAAAGATTACTAATGGCTGCGCAACAATTATTCCTCTTGTTCCCCCAGTCAATCTAGAAGATTGGTCAAGGGGAAAGGGAAATAGTCAGAGTCACGATTTTTTGTTTCAGTGGTAAGCATTGTAGTTCTTTCCTCTCTTCCCTTTTCTTTCCCAGCCTGTGGGAGAAGCTGCAAGACATCTGCTCTTCCAGAGAGTTAGAGAGATTTCCACTTTTGTGAGTAATGCACATTATATATTCATGATTGCTAAGTCCCAAGTTGTTATAAACTGTCAAATTGCAAAAGTCTATTATATAAACTTCTCCCTCCCCAATCACAGGGAAATAGTTGGATATAGTTAGTGACATCTTTCAGGCATGTAATGATTTACTTCTCATTTCATGTTTAATTTTGGCACTGGTCAAAACATTCTCTTTCATGAATCATTTTTTTTCTTATCTTCCAATTTCCTAATTGCCCAGATGGTAGACTAGCTCATAACTAAAAATGTAATCAGTTTCAATATTATCATTTCTTCTTTATGTATTACTAATTTTCTATGTATAAACTATCATATAGTTAGAGTTCTTAAATTTTTCTTCCCTTATCAAAGTAGACAGAAATGTAATTCCTTTTGACAACTGTCTTGGATAAAACAAAAGTTTGTTTATTTCACAAGAATTATTGTATTATTAATGATGTGTGGAGAACCAGTGAATTGAATGGTAATATAGATACCAGGCCAGCAGCAAGGCTCATGCATAGTCTTCAAGTTTGGCCTCAGCTTTACTGGACATGATGAAACTGGATTACTCTACACTAATGTGATTTATGGCTTATTATAAATGTCTAAATTGTCAAAATCAGTATTTAATGGTCCCCATATTCATAAATTATGGGAATGGTTAATCATATATATCTTCCTCATTTTCCTTATCATCTCAAAAGCTTCAAAAGCACTGTAAATGATTAGTTTCTGGGTCAGTGGTAGTGTATAAACAGCAGAATTAGATAAGTATTATCTGGCGAGCTCTCTGAACTTGCTTTCTCTTATATTAAATCTATTAACTTGTTTGTTGACACACCCAATACTTCAAAGACAAAGCCTGGACAAGGAAACCAGATGCTTTCTCTCTCTAGTTATCTTTCTCATCAGTTAGCTTTGTTTGTGAGTAATTAGGCAACTTCTGGGTTCTCTCTATGATTGTGATAAGGCTGTGCAAATGGTCTTCCAGACCCCAGGTCCCAAGTGAATGAAAGGATCTAACCAAGTCCTCACATCTGCCTATTAATCTCATATGAATACTGCCTGGCCTCCACTAAAGTACTCCCATTCTATTTTTATTCTTACCCCACTAATATTAATCTCTCTTTTTGTGCAATGGCCCATTTCATGACAATTGCTAGGTATTTGACAAATAGACTATAATATACATCAAGAAAATTATTACCTTAGAATTTTCAGAGGATACATATTGAGGTTATTTTTGCAATAATCATTTGCTAACAGAATTAAGTAGTCAGGTATCTAAGAGTGTAATTATAAGATGCAGACTTGTTCTCACTTTACGTTCTGAGTAATTTTCTAATGATTATGTCAAAATGACGTTCTGATCTTAGAGAATCTTGTGTGATTTGTAAAGCAGTAAAAGGTTAATTCAGAGTTCAGTTATATTACTGCTTTTGTTTATTTACTGTTTCTGAAAAAGCTAAGTCATTGTATCAGAGCTATTAGCTAAACCATCAACATAACATTCTTTTTCTTCAAACTGAAAATTTTCTTCATTTTGACTAAGCTTTATGAAGCTAACTAAAAGTGAGTGCAAGCCATGTACATTTACATTTTAAAAAAGAAAATCAACAAATATGGAAACTCTTGATGCTAGGGTAAGAATTTTCAATGCTGGAGGCCAGTGGGACACCCTGACCATACACACCATTACAGGCCTATCAGGATACTGATCACTCTGTGGTGCATTTTTATGTATTGAGTACAGCTGCCTCCTTCCCCACTGATGACAATGTGAATGGACTGTCAGTGTTTGGTATGGAAAGCACCTACCCTCAAACTCCTCACACATACCCCTATGGAGGAGGATGTTGCCACTCTGTGAGAGCACTGACATGTCCACCTACACCCTGGTCTCTGCCTGCTCCCCACAACTGGGGAGGAAGGAGAGATGAAGTTGAATATAGGCCTCTGTGCAACCAGCGGAACTTTATGCTGACTTTTGTGATGTAGTTATTTAGAACTATCTCCTTCTCTGGGCCTCACATCATCATGATCAATATAAAAACACTGGAGCACTCAGCAGCATGGATCCATAGTCTTCAGTGATGTTCTCATAGGAACATTCTGAAGCCCCCTGGACTCTTGATATCTTCTCCATCCTGTTACAAAACAATTATACTACTCCTTACATTTATATGATACTTCATAGTGGACAAAGCCCTCTCACTTAGCATCATCTCATCTAATCATCCTGAAGCAGTAATGGGTATGTAGAGTAATTTTTTAAATCAAAGGACCAAATGGGCTCAGAGAGGCTGAGTAACTTACAGGAGGTCACAAGTAAGTGGGAGATGACTTGCTCTAAATCCAGGATCCTTTCCACAATACTAAACAAATTATAGACATGGAAACAAGTACACTTTTGGAGAAAGCTAAAACTCCTTAAAGGAATAAATTTTTCATTACTCATCTACAGATAAAGCTCAAAATGTAAATCTTCTCCTGATTGGGAAAGTGTTAACAAATGTACCACAGGCTTTCACATATTTAAAAAAAGAATTAAACTAATCCCAGGGTTATAGTCTTGACTTAAGACAAGTTCTAGATTGAAAATAATTTTTGCAAAAATGCACATCTGTGTATGTATAAATATACATATTTATTTAGAAAACATGTTGGCTTAGATGTTTGTGCTATTTCTTAGTTACCATTTTACCATGCTGTGTCCACATCTGCTTCATCCTTACACTTTAAGTCACCATATTACTTTTTAATTACCCATGACTCATTTCAGTTAATTGTAATAATTAAGGTGGTTTAACCAATAAAGATTTTTGTGAGTAAAAATTCCAGGTTTTTAAAATATGTTTCCAGAAATAGTACAGTTTTCACATTTACTGTCTGAACCATACATTTATCATACGTAACTGTTTTTATTTAAAAGAACAATTACAGATTTAGTGCCAAGAGTATAAAACCAATAAATACACTTTACTGCATCATATAAAATGTGTGTGCAACATTTCCTTAAGAAACCCTCCGCATTTAGATATTCTGGACCTTTTTCACTTAAGAGTTTTGGCATATTTTTTCCCACACATAGTTTTTATTTTAGGGTATTGGTACATTTCATGAAAAGGAAAATATAGACAGTGAAAGTAGAGGCAGAAGTACAAGGTTCCAAGCACAAGAACCCATTGTTATATGCGTGTTAGGGGCAAGTATAATGAGGACCTCTTCCACTGAGCTTCAGTGACTAAGAGTGGCTAAGATACAAAAAGGGCAAGAAGTCAAAAGAATTATTTTTCTTGGATGGGAAAGATGACATGATTCAACACGAGTGGAGTGATTAAAAAGGAACGTTTATTGGACTCGGTTACACAGCTGATGGTTCACCTAGCTTCCACTTAGATTTTAAACATTTGCCTCAAAAATGATTTCACATCAGTTTTTGTTTCTTTGGAAGAGCTCCCATGTGTAATTTACTGATAGCATCTCTAAAGAACAGCATTATTGAGGATGTTTGGCTGATGTGCCAGATGGTGAAGGAGCCAGAAGACTGCTGCAAGTGAAGCATTCACTTGGTCTCAAAATGTCAGGATGGTGCGGATACTGAAATAGAAAATATAAACTGTTAATTGTTTTGATGTTTGGTGATTCACACTCTTCTGTGTGAGAGCCTAAGGAGCATCTGATGTGTTTCGGTGAACAGCTCTGTGTTTCCTGCCACTCCATTTACGTTCCTTTACGCTAAATTCAAGTCAGAGAGCAGCAGTTCACTTTTTCTGGGCTCGGTCTTGTGTTTTCTCCAACCTTAAACTCAAACATAACAACCTGAACATGACTGCCATTTAGGCATTATTATTGAGGAGTAAACTCATTTTGACAATGCTATGAGGCAGGTTCTGATGTTATTTCCACTTTAGAGATGAAAAATACTGAGGTTTAGAGAGATTTGTAACTTGCCGTAGGTCACATGTCTAGTGTGAAGTGCTGGGATTTAAACCCAAATACAAAATTGCACAAATTGCAAGATGACAAGTAACTTGCTTGAAAGAAACAATGATGTAATAATAGTTACAACCATGTTGAAGGTTTAATGGAGCCCTGATAAAGCAGTGCTTAAGGAGCCTTGGAAGCAGAAAAAGTTGATTTGTATTTAAGGAGACTCTGCTCTTGGGAAGATCAGAAACATAGCATTTACACTGAAGCTCATGTTCATTCTAAAATTCATCTTCTGATGTATAAATGCTTTTAGGAAAAGAAGGTCTTCATGCCTATAAAAGTTATATACATATACATATATATATATACATATACATGTGAAGAAAATATCTAGATAATTTAGAAGCTAAAAGACAGAGTAAATATAATTAAAATAGCCTGTTATCCCACAACTAAGAGATAATCAGTGTTAATATTTTCTTGCATTTTGATCAACTTTTTTTCTAGACATATGTACATTTTTTATTGTGTTTGTTGAGAACTTGGGATCCTATTTTATGTATAAGTTTATATTCTCTATTCTATAACCTGAAATTGCGTTATGAAACCATTTCTTTTTAATGGCTTCTTTGATTTCTAGTATGTGTTGGAAGCCCTTGAAACCATCCCTTATTATTGGACTTTTAGGATATTTCCAATTTTCGATATTATAGATAATAGATGACTGCTTAAATAGAGGTATTTGCATTTGAAACTAGAAGGTAGAAGTTAGGTATAACTGCCTATTGCTAGTTGTGCCTCATCCATAATGCAAACAACAATTTTTTTCTTTGTAGGTGGTTTTAGGGTTAAACTTTAGGGGTATGAAGTGAAATTGACTTGTTTTGCTAAGCTATGAAGAAAATTAAGACTTAAACATTTACAACAACATTCTCCTTTACCACCATTTTTATTTGTGAAAAATTTTTTGTAAACTAAAAAAAGAGATAACAGTTTTTTAAAGAACTTATTGTGATATCTTCATAGAAAATAATCCCAATGTAGCTCCACCTGCTCCCATATATAATTTAAATTCACAGTCATTAATGGTCAGTCTTTTTAGGTGGCCAGGCAGAGGCTGTAGGAGCACCATGTTATGATTATGACTGTGAGACTCTGAGTTTTTTCCTTGCAAGGGTGAATGTTCTCTTGTAAATAAAGATCAGTGCCTTTTATAATTTGGATTCACCATAATCAACATATGTAATTTCATTTCAGCAGAACTGGAAATGCAAAGCTATTATTCCTAGTTTCTTACAATATGATCTTGCATGCAAAGACTGAACTAGTAATGGAACACCAAGGCACTCCAATGCTTTTCTCCTATTTTAACCTTTTTTCTGTTAACCAAAACCCCACTCTAAAAGGAAACTTAAAAACTACCTCTTTCCAGAGCGAAGCATTTCATATCCTTCATTTATTTTTTCAAAAGGTAAAAACTGGGTTATTAATGGGTCCAATGAAAATTTCTTAGCCATAAAATCAGCCACAAGTTTGGGGACAGAATCTTTACTCTTAAAACCTGAAAAGAAAATGACACCATTGTTAGATGCAGCTAGGGGTAAGAGAATTGGAGAGGAGACTTTCTGAACAGAATTAAAATGAAAGTTCTACTCATATTACTGAGGTTAATAAGAGACAGAGTACTTCAATATCCTCTAGCAGTGGTTAGACTTTTTTTTTTTTACTTAAAAATTTGCCTAGATAAACAAGGGTCCTTAGCTATTACCTCTCCCACAGAGAAATTATAGTATGGATGGTTATTTCCGAAGTCAAGGAGCAAATTGTGCAATTGTCTAAATATGGGTAATGAAAGCAGACATGAATGATTGCTCTGGATTTCCTGGGTCTTAGTAGGTATATTCAGTGCCTTGTGGAGTCACATGTGTAAAAAGAAGAGGCGATGAAAGACCCTAGTTTATGGGGACACCAGAAAAATCTATCTTGGGAACTTGTGAATTAGTTCCACATGTAGTTGATTTGGAGCCTATGATGCAAAGGATTTTACATTTATTTTAACCATGTTGATTTTTAAAACCTGGCTTTGGCACTTGATAAAGGGAAGAAGTACTGAAGTTAAAAAAAAATTCAGCCCTTGAACCTAAACACATACCACCAAAAACCGCTCCTTTCCAGGTACGCCCACTCAGTAGTAACATGGGGTTCATGGAGAGATTTTGGGAACCAGGAGGTAATCCTACGATGACACTGACACCATATGCATCTTGACAGCATAACAAGGCAGCCACCTGGGATAAAATTAATGTTGGGCATCATTAAAGTGGGTTCTCTGATAGTCCTCACTCATGATCTATGGTATCATGTAATACTGATCTAGCTAGATTGTGAACATGTGGAGGGAAGAGATTATGTCTGTGGAATCTTCATTTCCCATTATGCCTAGGATAGTGCTGTGGTTTTAGAAAAAAAAACCAGAAAATATGTTTTGAATAAGACAATGGATGAATGAATTTGTGTACATGTAATTCTTTCTCATAAAGTAATGAAGAGGAGAACATCATTACAAACATACCTGTAAAAAGTCTGATTCTTTAAATACAAGTAATATTTTGTCATCACATGACTCACAGGCAATCTGAGTTGGTTAACTAATTTGTTTATTAAGTAGATATTTTGAACTTAGTACTTTGAACCAGGTGTTTTGATGGTGACCGAGATATAAGGTAATTACATCATCACAGTTTGTCTCTGGTCCACTTGATGGTCTCCCTTTTTAATGGTTCCATATACTACTGTCCATTTCTAAAATAGACACTTTTTCTGATTTATGTATTTATCCAGCTTTGATGAGGTACAATTACCAAATAAAAATTGTATATGGTCAAGTTATGCAATGTGTTTCTTTAGGGTATACTATGTAATGGTTTAATATACATATGCAATATGAAGTGATTATTACAGTCAAATTAACACATCCCTCACATGGTTACCATTTTCTTTTCTTTTCTTTTCTTTTCTTTTCTTTTCTTTTCTTTTCTTTTCTTTTCTTTTGTGGTGAGAACACTTAAGATCTATTCCCTTAGTAAACTTGAAGTATAGAATACGGTATTAATGACCATAATCATCCTGCTGTACATTAGATTTTCAGAATTTTCTCATTTTATAACTGAAAGTGTGTACCCTTTTACTAACATCCCCCCATTTCTTACCCCAACCCCAGTCCTGGCAACCACCATTGTACTCAATAGTTCTAAGACTTCAGCTTTATTAGACTTCACATACAAGGGAGATCACAAAGTATTTGTCTATCTGTCTGGCTTATTTTACTTAGCATAATGTCCCCTAGATTTATTTATATTGTTGCAAATGGCAGGATTTTTCTGATGTCATGGCTGAATAATATTCCACCAGACACATATCACAATTTCTTTATTCAGTCATCAGTTGATAGATACTCAGCTTGTTTCTACATCTTGGCTATTGCAAATAATGCTTCAGTAAACATAGGGGTGCACATAGCTATTTGAGGTAGTGATTTCATTTTATTTGGATATACACTTAGAAGTAGAATTGCTAGATCATATGGTAGTTCTATTTTAAATTTTTTAGGTACCTTCTATACTTCTTTTTGTAATGGTTGAGCCAATTTATGTCCCCTCCAACTGTGCACAACAACCTTGCCAAGACCATTTCTTGGACCTTGGATAGCAACCATCTTAATAGGAGTGATGAGGTGTTTTCTCATTGTAGTTTCTCATTTGATTTACACTGCCCTGATAAGTAATGATGATGAGTACAATTGAACATACCTATTGGACTGAAATGAACATACCTATTGGACTGAAATGAACATGTTTGAAGTGTGCCTTTACTTCCCCAAAATATATATTGATTTTACTTTAAATTATACCTATTATTCTAGAACTTCAAAAGAGAGTCTCTCTGCCCCAGTCAGTGTTTTAAATATTTCTGTAGTAGGAAAAAATTTTCAGGATCCTCAGCAATATACATAATGATTAGTCCTTTGATTATGGAGTATGACATTTGGAAAACCAGGTGAGCTCAGAGCATGTGGTTATCAGATATTTAGTGTCTTCAGTTAAATTAACAATCCAATTCCACATGAGAAGCTGGAAGAAATATAGCTGGAGATGTCTTCTGCATGATAATTGATAATGGCTTGCCGATTTGAAAAGAGAATTTGTATTGTTTATATTTACTTGAGTTTGAATTTTTTAACTAAAAATTAACAAAGAAATTTTAAATGGCTCAATAAAAAAACCCATCTTCCCCCTCTAAAGGGGAAGTAGTTTGCTTAGCTGACAGAGTGAAACTTACAATAATAAATTAAACAATCCAGGTATCAAATAGGAGATAGAAAATCACCATTCATAGTTTTAAAAATATTCTGCACATACAATATTTATATTCTGCTGCCTAAAACATACTCCAGAATGTGGAGACACACATTTCAAAGCATTTCACAGTACATACCATGGTGTCAAGTAGACCAACAACTTCAAATGAAAAATCCACACCTCCACTGGTCATTTCCTTCAGCACCTCATGGATGGGTTTCTTGAAGTCCTGCGGGCTGATGCACTCAGTGGCACCCACTTCCTTTGCCTTCTCAAATTTGCCTTTGTTGATGTCCACCCCAATGATCCTGGCCGCTCCAGCCACTTTGCAGCCCATGATCACAGACAGGCCGACTCCTCCGAGGCCAAACACCGCACAGGTGGAGCCTGGGGTGACCTGTGTTTCAGAAAATGTGAAAATGGATTGAGTAATGATTGTTGGAAAGTGTCTAGGCTGTATGAAATGCCATATCTTATCCATTATCAGTACTATTCAGACTTCTGTCCAACCTGCTGTCAAATCTCTTTTGGCTTCTGTTGGTTCACATTTAAATTGAGGGCTTTGAACTAGATCAGCGGTTCTCAAACTTTGCAGACATTAGAATCACCTAGGGAGCTTTAAAACTTCTCAATGCCCAGGTCACAGCCCATTGCCAATTATATCTCTGCAGGAAGGACAGAATTCCCAAGTGACTCCAGTGGGAAGCCCAGGCTGGGAGCTGGGGACTAGCGGATCTTGGAGCTCTAAATGCCAATGACTCCTATCTTATAGAGAATCTAGTGGCTGAAATCCATTGACAGGCTTTAGTAAATTGTACATACAAAAAGCAATTTTGGGGAAATTAAATAAATGGAAAAGGTATTCCACTAGGCTAAAATTAATCTAACCAAACCCTCAATGATTAACTCCTTGGTTCATTAACTTTCAGTAGTCATTACCAGTATAATAAGAGCAGAAATTAGCTGTGAGGCAGAGAAGTTATTCTTAGCTTAAAACCAAACCTAACAACTGGGGAAATTTAACTGGAAACTTTAAGATAATACCACTTGAGACCAGTGTAATCTTAGTGGGTCTTTATCCTTGCTTTTTAAAAATATACTAATGAACAATAATTCAATAAAAAGTTGCTCTACATTTTAATAATGGTTGAAATTCATCACCATGAGTGCTCTCGGCTTCTGCACTGTGTGTAGGCTCAGTTAGACCATCTGCTCAAACAGATGATGTAATTGCACAAGGGATTTAGTGCTAGAGTCACAGAATTTGAAAAACATGTGCTGTCAGTTGTTGAAATCAGCTAAGGACTGTTTAATATGTCTAGTCTGCTTTAGGAGTCAGCCTTCAGTGTGGGTAAAATATTCCTCCTGTCCCTAGTAATCAATCATTTTCTGGGGTATATCATCACTTTTTACTTTACTTAGAAAAATATGGGGCGTGTGATTATAATTTTAAAATGTAGGTAATAATATATTATGGTTTAAGATTCAGCAGGGATTTTGAGAAAGATGCTAGTCACAGCTCTCATTCTAACCTGCCATAAGATTTGGGGCAAATATCTTTATGTAACTGGGCCTCCTAGATTTTCAAACTTTTGGGAAGAGGGACCTTAAAGAATTTCTCAAACCTACCACCTCTGGGTGTGTGTGTGCATGTATGTGTGCGTGATCATGTCAGGGGAGGAGAAGCAGCAGTAAAATCCCCCAGTAAGTGGAATAAATACAAAATGCATTACTGAAACTTCTTTGCTTTCCTCATAGTGATCTACAAAGCAGGTATGTTTGTGCTGCTTGGTCTGGAGGTGTAGCAGGTAAGGCTTTGGAATCTACTGTTAATCGTAATTCTGGGAGTAGACGATTCATGGACTAGATTCTCCTCAAAGGCAACTCTTTCATTTCGTTTACTTTTGCTGCCTCAAAAACTAGCAGAACCTACTGTGCCTGGTATTATGTTTGTGCTGACTCATCAGAGAAAGAATGACTAAATGAGGTCCCAGTTCGAAAATTTAGTAATCTCATAAAGAACAAATATAGACAAAAAATGATTGAAAATAGCACCTTTACTTTTTCTTCACTAATTATCAAAAGCTTTTCACTTGTTCTAAACAGATACATTGTCTAGGACATGGTTTTAATTCTCCCTGAAGACATTTTTTTACTCATAATCAGCAACTTAAATTCTATGGAGTATATTAATGTTGTTGTGGTAGTGGGGTGGGGGGAGTAGCTACCAGTAAATCTATGAAGAATTATCTCTAATTGCTGTGAGAAACCACTTTCCTGTGGTGGCGGGAAAATGGAGACTACTGTACTTGAACAATTAAAAGAAACACTTTCCTTTGTTTCCTGACTGTCCAAGTGCAACTGGTTTTATCATCCATTGTTCATTCGCACCTTGGCAACTTTGACTGCAGATCCATAACCAGTAGTGAATCCACAGCCAATGAGACAGACTTTCTCTAGTGGGGAGGCTGCATCAATCTTGGCCACTGAGATCTCGTCCACCACTGTGTACTGGGAGAAGGTGCTGGTGCCAATGTAGTGGTTGATGGTCTTTCCTCGGCAGGTGAACCTGCTGGTACCATCCTGCATAGTCCCACGAGGCATGATTAAACTGGCCAGTGCAACACACAGACACACAAAGCATGAGACAGGAGCATAACAAAGGTAATTCATTGGAGTATATTAATGTTGTTGTGGTAGTGTAAATTCATTGGCTATGTGAAGAGAATATCAGAAACTTACTCATTTTTCAAGCAGAAGTTGCCTTCTGGGTGTTTACAAACACTGCATTTCCCACACTGGGGAACAAAGAGTGGGATGACTTTATCACCTGGAGGGGAATAAAACAAATTCTTATGAAATCTCTGCCCAGGAGTTAATATAGCAAGAACCTAAAGCTAAAGGGTGTGTATTAGAGGTGGTTGTCTTTGAATAGGGTCTAAGAAATATGATCTAGTTACCATGATGTCATTGGTCATTGCCCGGCAGCATTGTGATTGGTTGGGGTTTATATGTGCCTGCAGATTGCTCAAAAGGAAATGCACATGTAGGAAACAACGTGGATTTTAAAATGTTTTTAATGCATTAATAGTTATCTTTTATCCCGTGCTTTTTTCTCTTGATGGTTTTATACGTATCTCATTTAACATTAATAATCAAACCTTAAATATTTTTATTGTAAATATCTATAAATTTTAGTTGTGAGAGCCGGCCATAGTTTCATTAGTTGTTGGGGTCAGTGAGTATTTTGTAATAGTTTGGGATACAGTAAAAATGAGGATTTTGACAAACATTTCTTTGTTTTTCAAAGTGACTGTTTATTTTTACTATAAAATGAGTGCTTATTTTTAAAAATTTTAGTTTTTTTAAAGAAAAAATAAAAATAATGGGAAAAAGAATTCAAGAAATTTCTTTGAAAATCTCAACCCTCAATAATGATTTAGGAACTTTCTTTTAGGATAAGAACAGACTTTCAAATGTTTTTAGCTAAATTATTCATTTTCCCTGCTGTGATGGAGGGAGGCATGGTGAAAAATAAGGGTGTTGTTTATTATTAATTTATTTCTATCTAAAGGAAATACTAAGAACTAAAACTCAAATAAAACCATTTATTTTAATATTTTCTGTCCATAGGTTAATTAAGTATTTGATAATGGGGGAGACTGAATTTACTGGTTACAGTGATTTTTTTTAGAATTAAATATAATTTTTATTTTAAATTATCTATTCTACTCATCCACAAAACCTATAAAAATGGTTGGGCCATTTTTGTCTATACATTTGATAGATAAACTTTATATAGAGATGACAGCATGAACATTTTGTATTTATTCACTCTTTATCTCTAAAAGTATTTATCTATATTAATGTACAATAAAATGAAGACAAAATAAGTATTAAAGATAAACTAGTACTTTGTAATGATGGTTAAGTGTAATTAAACAGATATGGTTTATGCAGGATGGTAGGTCTCTCTTTTCCTTCTAAACAGTCTGTTTCATTCTGTGTTCAAGAAGAGAGGTCACACTGGAAGAGAAAATCGGTAACCAAGTTCTACTTCCCACCTAAGAGGAGATTATATTGACTCAGTCAGAGCCTCAAGGTCCCTATTCTGTGAAGTCAGCAGAAAACAGTTTCCATTCACTGATCTATAGGTCCAGGACATAGACTAAAGTATTTTCCCTTGTCCTATTTATATTTCTTCTTGGACTTGAGAAAAGACAGTTCTAAGCAACACTAAAATGGGTTACTTGGTTGTGAATACTGTCAGGCAGTGGGTCTCTTTTGTATGGTTAGGTGCTTGACATCTAGCAGATACTCAGCAAATGCTTGCTGAAGGAGAGTATGCATGAGTGCATGAATGCACACACGCCTGAGGCAGGAAGAAGAGGAAGACACCTCTCTTTAAGTCCCAGCTCTGCTGCATCCTCAGCAAGGTCTTTCATCTTGCACTGCTTCAGTTTCATCATCCAGATTGGATGATCTTGGGGTCCTGAACAAAGGTACATTCTCCAAGTGTGAATTCCGTACCTGGTTTTACTGTAGTCACCCCTTCTCCAATGCTCTCCACAATGCCAGCTGCCTCATGGCCTAAGATCACAGGAAGAGGAGTGACAAAGTTTCCACTAACCACGTGGTCGTCTGATCGACACAGTCCTGTGGCCACCATCTACGTGGGTAAAGGAAAGATGGATTCAGAAGAACTAACGGTCCTCAGATGGACTTAATGAAACCAATTTCCTGAAGTTGCACTTGTGAAGAATTTTCAAGGATTTTGCTAATAATCCCTACTCTTCCCAAATACAAAAGATTCTGTTTGTCTCAAGATTATTCAGTCTAAAACTCTCTGATACTTTTTTTTCCTGCCTTAAGCACTTCAGGATAATCTGAAATAATTATTTCTGAAATGTTTAAGTCTCATATAATTGACAAGAATGCATACTTTTTAATCGAAGTACAAATTGCAGATTACCACTGAGAAAATTAAATCAGTTAAGTTCTACCGTCTAATGCTAACTGATTTTAAAATCAATCATCTATCATCTATCTATATCTCTTCATATTCCTTTGCCCCTTGTTCTATATAAACATATCAATCCTTTTTTTATTTTATTAGTGTGAAAGAATTTCAACCTAAAATGGAACCATTGGATATAAAATGGAAAATCTCATGCTTGTCCCATCACGAAAACAAAACACAAGGACTGAGAGACCAATTTCCTTAAATGTCTGATTTATAGAAAACTGGTAATATTATAATTTTCCTAAATAATAAAGAGTTGGCTAGGGGTTGCCTCAGACCAACCTTGGGGAATTTTGCTCATGTTTTCCAGAGGCATGATTGGACTGGTTTTGTGCTCATGGGGAATTTTCAAAGCTTGTCTCCATTTGTTTTTGTTTTAAAGGTGAAAAATATTAATGGAATAAAAACAAAAGAATACATTGCTGCAATATTATCATCAGATTAAGCAAAATTCAAGGCCCAAATTAATTAAACAATAATAAAGAAGCATTATATAATAATAACAATAGAAGATGCCATCATAACAAATATATACATTTTAACAGACTATAACTGAACTCTCCCATCTTTAAATTTCTTGCCATTAAGTACATGCTACCCCAAACTTTGAACGAACTGACCTATAGCTTGCTACAATTTGCACATTCTAAATTGCAATTCCTGTTATTTTTAAAGATTTTATTTATTTATTTTTAGAGAGGGAAGGGAGGGAGAAAGAGAGAGAGAGAGAAACATCAATGTGTGGTTGCTGGGGGCCGTGGCCTGCAACCCAGGCATGTGCCCTGACTGGGAATCGAACCTGCGATGCTTTGGTTCATAGCCCGCGCTCAATCCACTGAGCTACGCAAGCCAGGGCGCAATTCCTGTTAGTTTTGAATAAATTTATCTTTTTGACTATTTTGAGTTTGACTCAGTTTACCTTTTTATTTAGGTAGCCATTAGGATTATACCATATATATTCTTTCTTCTCTTTTTTAAAATGTAACAATTTGTATTTATGTCTTTCCTTGACAGGAAATGTAATTCCACTGTTTGGATTACCATATAAAAGGCACCTCTTAATGAATTTTTGTTTTTTTGTATAACTATTCTCTGAGTTTTTTAATCCTAAAATTAAATAGAAGTGAAAAAATATTTCACCTTTATACGAACTTCATGAGCCTTTGGGGGTGCTACCTCCACCTCCTCAATGGAAAAGGGTTTCTTTAGCTCCCATAGCACAGCCGCTTTGCATTTTATCACCTGCAAATTGAACAGAAAGATGATACCCGTGTTCCCCCATTCTTGAAGTCAGGGATTGTGACTTTCATCTTTTTATGTGCAACATCTAGCCCCATGTCTGGAACCTAACAAATGTTATATAGAAATGAACAATCTCTGATATGCAAAACAAAAAAAATACCTCTAAAAATGTGTAAAATAATTATGTAAGAATTAACTATGAGACACTGAAATAAAATAGAATATATTCTTTTAGGCCATCCTTATATTGTTTCTTTTTCCAAGGGTTATTTATTCCTGATATTTCCTAATGCAGTACTGAAGTCAGTTGTTTACCCACAACTCTTGGCTTGTACATAAAGTTTTTAAATCACATTTTTTTTTTTGGTTCACAGATTCACTGTCTGTTACCATAAAAGCTGCTGCTCTCTTGCTCAATTTTTTCCACTTAAGCCCAGAACAATGTGACTTTGATTTCAGTGCATACTTGCCTCCCTGCATTGGATTTCTCTTTTCTCTATTTGCCTGTCTTTCTTTGATTTTTTTTCTCTCCCCACTACTTCTGTATGCTACCTGTTTGCATCACTCATTTGAAAATGAGTTTTGGCCACTTGGTTTTCTTATCTAATTTATGTGTAGCTATTCTTTCCAGATTAGATGTGAGCCAAAAATTGCAGAAGTTATAGCTACACACACACACTTTTACCCACATATACACACATATATATTTAAAAATAGGATAACTGTGTGTTTGATGTTTTAGCTAGCATAGGTTACCCATAAATATTCTTCAAAATTAAGATTGAACATATATTTTTAGTACTTGAGAAGGCAATACAGAACTTGTCTTCATGATTGCAAAGCTTATATACATTTGAGAGTTTTTTCTAGACAGACAATTTATTAATAATTATAATTATGAATTTATAATTAATAACTGTAAACATAATTTAAAATTCAATTGAAATTTATCTTTTTGACATTTTATTTTCTTGTTTATATGTCAATTCTCCCACTTTCCTGGGTGTTTGTGATAGTCAATGTCACAGTAAACATGAGACTGCTTAGAAATAATACACTAATAGTACAGAGGTCCTGATTATTGGGTGTTTATATAATGGGCAGGCACACTGTGACCTGTGCTGAATGAGTTACCTGCTTGATCTTTAAACCCCACACGATGAAATTATTAACTTATTGGTTTATTTTTCAGATGACAAAGTTGAGCCTCTCTTGACCAGTAACTAATTTTTGCAGTCACAAAGTAGGCTGTCCAGAGAATGAAGGTCAATCCAAAGTCATCGTTTCACCATCCCATGGTCATAAAAGATTAACCAAAGTTTAAATAAAACAGCAGTGACTAACATTTATTGAATTATTTCCATGTACCAGGTACTATCCTAAGTGCTAAGAAATATTAATTTGTTAAGTTCTCAAAACTGCCTTATGACATAGGCATTATTATGATTTCTGTTTGGCATTTGAGGAAAATACAACACAGGAAGACTAAATATAACTGGAGCGCTACCACAAAGCTGAAAGCCTGATGTTGCACCGGAGGTGGGAGGATTGAGTGCTTATTATTTATCGTTCTCATGAATACATTTGGTTTACTCTTTTGTGCTCAGAACTCAGGATTTCTGTGGAAATTTCCTGGGTTGAGCCATAATCAGACAATTTTAAATCAGAATTTGCATGTTGATGTTGGCTTGCTTGACCTTAATGATTCTAATGCTTTGAGATCAATAAAAGTTTTATCAGACTTAACTTAAAAAGTTCATGAAAAGAAGATGATAACTCCTGTGTTCATAAAAAGAAGATGATAACTAAGAAGAACATTTAAGCTTAGGTTCTTAATATAGAGATAAATTCTTTAAAAATATTTCTAACTTTAGGTTTTCAGATTACTCATGATTAGCTATAACTACTGAACATTTATTTAAATAGAAAATAAAGACTTTAAGCCCTGGCTGGCGTAGCTCAGTGGATTGAGCACGGGCTGGGAACCAAAGTGTCCCAGGTTCGATTCCCAGCCAGGGTACATTCCTGGGTTGCAGGCCATAACCCCCAGCAACCGCACATTGATGTTTCTCTCTCTCTCTCTATCTTCCTCCCTTCACTCTCTAAAAAATAAATAAATAAAATATTAAAAAAAAAAGAAAATAAAGACTTTAATAGGTACAGATTCTACACATTGTTGTTAATGATATTTAGGAACAGCCTATTCAATTATAGTTCAACATACATTGCATAATAAAGTGTGCATTCTATATTTCAGTATATATTGTTTCTAATTTAAATATAGCTTAAATTATTCATTAAATACTACAGCTCTTTGTGTATTATATAAGGAGATTATATTTTCAAAAGTAAAAAGAAAATTGCTTACTTTTCCTGCTGTGCTCATGATTCTATTCTCTCTGCAGGACAGGAGACTGAATTCTTGCAGACTATTTCCTGCTCAAGTACATATAACAGTTATGTTGCACAAATATTTTGTTGCTTATGTAATGCCCAGTTCCAGACATGTGATCTGGGTTCTTTAAGCCACACCCATCAGCTTATTCCCAAACCATATCAAATCAGAAAGAAAAGGGCACTGAACCAGTACTCAAACAGAGATTTTGTTTGTAATATGCTAATTAGAGATAAGAGCTTGATATCTTTGATTAACTATTTTTTTACACATAAATTTTAATTTCTCTGTCCCTTTTTCCTGGATTCCATATTTATTCTCTTTCAATCCTCTGTTTTGCCTTTGCGTGCATTAATCCCCAATTTCTAATCCACATGTTGCAGTTAGAAAGAAGAAAGAGTAAGGGAGAAGCACAAATGACATAGGACGGAGAGAACTATAAGCCAGAGGAATGTGTTTGCTCCAGCTCTCTCCTCTTCTTCATTGCAGAGAAGTCAGACATCAATCAGTCACAGAAAAGGTGCTCATGACCTTGCCATTTCTGCTTTACTCATTACCTATCAGCATCACCTGGGCACCTCCCTGTTACTGGCATTCGGTTTGGTACAGTGGTGTGGCAATGAGAATAACAGAGAGCCTCTACCTCTGCCAAAAAGCATATGGGGCAATGCTTATGATATGGCCTTGGATTCAGGGCAGTCCCTATGCTTACTAGTTGTGCAAATTTGCCGTTAGCTCCTTTATTTGAAAAATGATAGAATAATAGTACCATTTGAAAGAGTTGTTGAACAGATGCATCAAGCCCTTTAAAGCACCTATTAGGAAAACTGACAGATAAGACAATCTTCAGTAAATACCAGCTACAATGATTATCCTTAGTAGAGAGCTCACAGTCTACAGGGAGAAAACAAGTCATACCACCTATTTCAAAAGGAGGGCACCTGACTGAAGGACTCAGTGGAGGCTTTGTAGACAGAGAAGATATTTAAGTTAGAAACTAAATAATGATCTTTTTGGCAGAGTCAAAAAAAAAAAAAACTTATGCACTTCTATTATCCTTTGTCAGTGCCATGAATAAAAAAAGGAGAATATGAGTCTGATTTTTAATAAATCCTAAGTCTTATACTAAAATTTGGGAACACAGCATATTAAACTACTTAATTAGATATAGTCTTTCGACCTATATACATTAACATAAAGGGTATATTTTTTTATAGAATTGTCAAGGAAATGACACAAAAATGTGCTTGGCAGTTTTTTTTCTGAGTACCAAACTGAAATAATCTAAATGTTTAAATGAAATATATTATGGGTCAACACGATGAATGGCTAAGTAAATAGTCATTTTTGAGATGATGAAGAAATACAAATGTTGTATAGTGATTTTAAAGTAATGCTCCAACTCCATAATTTTAGTAATATAAAAATGCGTATCGGTAAGAAAGGATGAGTAGACAGAAAAGTGGTTTTGTGGAAAGTAACCTCACAGACTGATTTGGGCAGTCATGTCCAGGTATGTAACTTCTCTAGTAAAAGGACATCTTTGCCTTAAGCGAGCCCTGTTCATTGTTTCTGTGCACCTAAGTTGGCAACACTTTTGAAATGCCTCTTTTCAGACATCTCCTTCTGAAACATGATCACCCTCATGAGAACATAGAGTCTTGTTAACTATCTGGTACTTCGATCCCTTTCTTTCTGTCTGACAGCTTCACATAATGTTCCTTACATTCTCTTCTTAATTCCAAATACATAAAGAAAGCTGCAAACTGTCATTTCTTGGAAGCATTTTTCTCAGTCTGTTGAGATCTTGCTTCCAGACATATCCTCTATTTGGCTCAAGTAACTTATAAAAATTATCTACAGGCTTAGCATTCATATATGCATAACAGATTTTAGGTAACTTTGAAATATTCCAAGTGGGAAGAAATGTGAAATGGGCTGGCCCACACTGATGTGTGGTGGTTAAGAACAGGGAGGATCACCTCAGCTGCAGAGATCCACACTGGGATCCCCAGCCGGGAGCACCAGTGCTGGGAAGATGAATCCCCACAACAGCTGGCTGTGAAAATCAGTAGGGACTTAGTTCTGGTGAGATGGAGGGCTGCTGTAGACCCAAGTGATCTCTTCAAGGGTTGGAACACAGACTCACTTAATCACAAACACTCATCCTAAGCTCCAGAGGAGGCACAGCAGCTCAAAGGGTGCCAGGGACATATGGGGAAAGACTGATTTTCTGGCTTCAGTGTGAGGGCTGGCAGGGAAGCTCTTTTAGAAACTAAAGTGCTGGAAGGTGACATTGTTCCTTTGTTGAGCCCTTTCCCCCCTCAGCCTTCAGGCAGGGGTCAAATCTAAGTCTCCACTAACTTGGCTAATACTGCTCTGACCCACCCTGGTGATACTTCAAGACCTTTTACAACCCAATTAACATGCCTGGTCCAAACCTATTTCAGAGGATAATCCACACAAGCAGCTAGCCTTGGTCCATGCTTTGGACTTTTCTAAAATCTCACAGGTTCATAAACCCCACACAAGCAGTCATTGGCCTCAGCATGCCCTGTACTTCTTGTTAAGTGGCCCAAAGCTCAGCACTTCTGGCAGCTGGCTTCAGTTCACAGCACAACAACTCCCAAGTGCTTCCAAGCCCAGTGTAGGAAGCTACTCACCACAGATCACGTTGTAGTTCCTACCAGGTGGTCCTAGGCCAAAGGCAACTGCTGATCTTGGCCTGCACAGAAATCCCTCTCAAGAGCCCTCAGAACCAACACCCTTGGTGGCCAGCTTCAGACCCCACCAGAGCACTGTCTAGTTAATGCCATAAGTGGTACAACCAAAGGATGGACTTGGCCTGAACCATAGCTCCACTAAAGTCAATCCCACTCCATGGGATCAGTCCCCGCACAACAGCTTATCTGCTGTAGTCATGGCCAGTCATCACAGCCAGTCCTCACAGGCAGTTAGCCTGTGGGTCAGTCCCACCCACTAATGTGCTAACAGCAATCAAGTCTCAACTACAAGCATCACACAAAACTACACAAGGAACACTCTGGAGCATATGGCTCAGGTAAACAGGAAGCTTATGCCACTGTGCCCCATAGGACTCCTTCTATATAAGTGCCATGACTGGAGGTATAGTAGATCTACCTAATATGTAGAATCAAACAGAGAAAGAGCCAAAATGAAGATACAAAGAAAAATATCCTAAAAGAAAGAATAGGGTAAAACTCCAGGGTGGAAAAAAAACTAAGTGAAATGAAGACAAGAAATCTACCAGATACAGAGTTTAAAACACTGGTTATAAGGATACTCAATGAGTTTAGTAGAGAAAAATATTACCGCAGTGAGAACTTCAACAAAGGGATATGAAACGTAAAAAAGGAGATAGAAACCATAAAAATAACCAGTCAGAAATCAAAAATATAACTGAAATGAAGAATACATGAGAAGGAATCAATAGCAGACTAGATAAGCAGAGAATAGAATCAGTAATTTGGAGTACAAGGTAGCAGAAAACAACCAATGAGAGCTACAAAATGAAAAAAGAATTTTTAATTTAATCTTTATTGTATATTTTTTCATTATCTTTTAGTCCCCTTATACTCCCCACCCCCAGATGCAAAAGGAATGGGCATGGACAATGAAAAAAGAAATTGAAATATGAGGATAGTTTAAGGGACCTGTGGGACAACATCAAGCATAACAACATTTGCATTATAGGTGTACCAGAAAGAAAAGAGAGAAACAGAACAAAGGATTTGAAGAAATAATGACTAAAAATTCCCTAATCTGGCAGAGAAAATAGTCATACAAGTTCAGGAAGTGCAGAATCCCAAACAAGATAAACCAAAAGGGGCGCACACCAAAACACATCAAAATTATAATGCCAAAGGTCAAAGACAAAGAGAGAATCTTAGAAGCAGCAAGAGAAAAGCAGTTACACACAAGGTAGCTCTTGCAAGACTGTCAGCTAATTTATCAAAAGAAATTCTGCAAGTGAGAAGTAATTGGCACAAAATATTTAAAGTGATGAAAGTCAAGGATGTACATCTGTGGGCACCTAGTGGGTGGTGGTGGGCCTTGGAGTACATGGAGACTGTTGCTAAATGGCCTCAGACCCAGCACTGGAGCTGAGTTTAAATCTGTATTGATCTGGTAAATAGCATTTGCCCCTACCTGGTGACTTACTGAGAACCTACTTTATGCAACTCATGTACCACCAGAGGCTCTCTCAGTGACTGAACTTAATAGGCTGCTCGCAGGTGGAGGTGGACCTTAAATAACCATGGACCTTTTGCTGACCTGCCCCTGGGCTTGGTGCTGGTGGAAACTGTCCTTGGTGTGCAGCTTGGCCCCTCCATGCAAATACAGGCCAGACAGAGGCAGCCACAAACTGGATAACTTTTTAGTTCCAAACTGGTAGCCCAGGTCATAGGTAGTGCCTGACATTGATCTGCACTAGAGTCCCTCCCAAGTGGTCCCCAAACCAATGCACTGGTGGGCTTCAGGCCACATCAGAGGACGGCCCAATTAGTTCTATAAGCAGCACATGCAAAGGGAGATCTTGGCAGGAACCAGACCCTGTTGTGGTAAAATTCACTTTATGGGGTCAGCTCCACACAGCATCTCATACACTGTGGTCAGGGCTGATTCTCACAGTCAGCTGGAGAAGTAACCCCAACCATGGATGGGCCAATGACCATCAAGACTCAATTACAACAGGAGGATTCACATAACCCACACAAGGGACATTCCTGGAGGACTTAGCTCAGGTCATCAGGGAGAGTGTACTACTGAGGCCTATAAGACACCTACTACATAAAGTCACCATACCAAGACTTGGAGATATAGCAGATTTACGTAATATGTAAAAGCAAATACAGAAAGGCAGCCAAAATGGGGAGACAAAGATACACAACTCAAATGAAAGAACGGGGAAATCCCCTGGAAAATGAAGTAAATGAAATGGAGGCAAGCAAGCTACCAGATAGAGAGTTCAAAACAATGGTTTTAAGGTTGCTTAAGAAACTTAGGGGAAGAATGGATGAACTTAGTAAGAACTTAAACAAAGAGATAGTAGACATAAAAAAAGGACATAAAAACCAT